GTAATGGCCTGGGTGAAGCAACCCATGTGAACCAGGTTGATGGAGTCTCCGAAATGGTGTCCCCACTCTGTGGCTCTGTATAGGGGAGGGCTCAGAAAAGGGACAATGGCTGCTGCCTGGCCTCTGGAGTTTTGTCCAGGAGGTAGCTGTTCCCCAGTGCTTGCCCTGATGCTAGACACTTCAGTCTCTCATTATATGCCACTAGTGCCCTTCAAGCTTCTGCCTCAGTACTGGAGCTCAGAGGGCATAAGTCTGCATAAGTCCTAAGTCTGTTGTGGGCCTTTAAGAGGAGACACCTGAGAATCCAGCAGTTTCTTCTGCAGCCCCAACCTGCACTGTTTTTTAACAGCCAGAAGTTATGGGGATTTATCTTCCTAGCACTGGAACCCTAGGCTGAGTAATCTGGTGTGGGGCTGACATCCCTCCCTCCTGAGATATCCCTTCCAATTTTTATCCCCCACACGTGGGTATGGGGCTGCCCATTCTATGTCTTTGTGTCTCCTCTGCTCTACCTGTCTGGATGAACTGTGACTTCTTTAATTCCTTGGTTGTTGGACTTCCATACAGGTCGATTTTCTGATGATTCTGGGTGATAGTTGTTTTGTAATTTAGTTGTAAGTTTTGCTGTGGCTGTGTGAGGAAGCGAGTCATGTTTATCTACTCCTCTATCTTGACCAGAAGCTAATTTTGTATTTTTATATGCTGAATCTGGGTAACTTAGTAACAGACTTTTTTTTTTCTTATTTGCATTTTTAAAAGTTTCTGTAATATGTAATGCTGGCAATGAGAAGAAATAAAAATTGGAATTTTTAAAACTTTTTTATTAGCAAGAAGCATATCAGTGATAAAGTGATGGGTTTATCCTCCTCAATGAGAGGCTTTCCTTACTCAACCCATGGTCAGTAGACCAGGAGCAGCAGCCTCACCTGGGAGCATGTTAGAAATGTAGACACTCAGACACCACCCAGACCTCCTAAATCTGAACCTGCAACTTGACAAGATTCTGAGGAGACTTCAACGGAAAGCTCTGCTCTGGAGACCTCAACTAAAAGCTAATTTTCAAAAGCTAATTTAAAAAAGCTAATCTGAATCCTTTCATAGAGACTAAAAAAATCCTCAACGAGAGTGGAAGGAGACTGAGTTGAGCAATCTGACCTGAAGCCAGGAATATCAGTGAGAGAGAGAGGAGAAGCCTCCTGGCGGCAGGAGCTCCAGGCACCTCCGTCTGGTCCATCCACCCTGGGTTGCCGTGTGCACAGGCTGCACAGTCACTAGATGACTGTGGGAGGCATCAGTCAGACAAACGCCCAGCAACGTGGTGCCCCTGGAGCTGTGCGGCTGAGTGGCCCCGACCCAGCCCTCAAGAGAGGCGGGGAGCGGGGAATAGAGATGAAAAAGTAAGGGATGGCTTTTTGATATTGTTTTAGAGGATGCATGGGTTTTTATTGATTTTTAATATGTTTGTTTTATTTTAGCAGGAGAACTGATGGGTGTGTTTTTGGGTTTTGTCCTCTTTTTTTTTTTTTTAACTTGAAATCTGTCCATGCTAGTGAATGATCAGTTAAACAGGTGAGATCTACTCTGGATAAAATTATTAAAACCCGTTTAATGAATTTTAAGTGTTAATATTTAATAAACATGAACAAATTTGATCCACTACCAAATGCCTCCCAATTATCTCACAATGAGGAACAGATTCTCCTTTGTACCAGCAATTCCAGCCACACTTTGGAAACATAGAGGCCACATGAAAAAGGAGCAGGATGTCAAAGCTCCATCTTCTGATGTGCCCACATCTACTTCGGATGATGAGCCAAAACCACAGGACAAATACTTGCAAGTTCTGTCCCCCTATCACCAGAGTACATCCACTTTGGAGGCCACCGCAACCCCATCCCTCCTTTTCCCCCATTACCCAGCGTGAGCCTCCAGGCACAGACCACTAGCCAAGTGTGTGCCATGGGCTTTGCTGCTGCTGTTGCTATTAGTTTATTTCTTAATTACCTGTTCTCTCCCTCGAATATAAATTCCATGAGAGCAGGAATTTCATCTGACTCATTCGTGAGCCTACTCCCAGGACCTCAACAGTGCCTGGCACCTGGGAGGCACTCGGTAAACATTCATGGAGGAGATGAATAGACTGTCTTTCAGCTACAAACAGTATTCCCTTTGGTCACTGTATATTCATTTTACATTTTTTCATCCTTTCATCGCAGATTTGGATTTTAGTTAAATACCTTGAATAAATTTTTGCTTTATCTTCCACTAGATAATGCCTGGTTTTGTCTTGTAGCTCAGAGAAGAAACTTTTATAATAACTGACACCATTCCAGACTCTAAGTAAATTGCCTCTTCCTATAACACATCTGCTTCTCACTTTCATTAGCTGTAGTAATATTCTAATCACTCCGTGCTGCAGTCTCAGAGAATGGAAGAGAGCAAGTTCCAAAAAACAGTTGTTCTTCTCTTCCTTAGAGAAAAGCACTTGAGATCCAAGGTGCTGTAAAATACATTCTTAATGGCGCGTGCACGAGCGCACACACACGTGCACGTGCACACACACCCTAGCCTTTCTAAATGTTCTGCAAAGAGGCAAGGATATTTCTGGGACTGTGTGAGAAGGACAGCCCAGTGCAATCTCATAGCACTCCTAGGCCTGATTTCATAGACAGCATTACAGAAAAATTGAGAATGGAACAGATTGTGGGAAGGCGGAAAGGTTTCTGGAGATATGGGATAAGTGACAGGAAATACATCAATCAACACATTTCATACTGAGGTAGAGTTCAAAACAATTGGTGCTTGCACTCAGTTTCCCAATGAATCCTGAGCAACTCAATTAACCTCTTTCTGCCACATTCTCATCACTTATACATTTAGTACAACAATCCATCTAGTGGAGATTGCACAGAGATATGGAAATAAATGAAAGTAGACAGCAATATGTGTTATACCTAATGATATTCTATTAACTAGCATGAAACCATGGGGCTACAAGAACTTATGAGGTCAATCTGGTCTTTTCACCCAGGACCACAATTAAACCATTCCAGAGGGATTAGATTCTAATCTTTAAAAAAAAAGTCTGTGTAGAGGAATTCCCAGAAAACACCCCTCCATCAATGTGTGTTGTCACGATCCTGCAGCCTCAGTGCGCTGTGCTTCTGCCCCTTCAGTGATCACAGTGCAGTAGCATCCTGGTTTAGGGCATGGATATTAGAGTCCCATTGGACACTCTTCTGCGCTGGCTCCATGACTTTGAGCAAATTACAGCCTTAACATTGTCTAGCCTCAGCTTCCTCTTCTATAGTTGTGCCACTGACCCCATGAGGTTGGGAGCAGGACTAAGCGAATAAACAAGCATGGCACTTTTCACAGTGCCTGGCACGTGATTTGTGTACCAAGTCACCAGTAACATTATTTCCTGGCTGAATAACCCAGGTCACTGTAATTTTCATTCACAACATAATTCTAAAAATTTTAATCACTTCATTTTTAATATAGTACTCAAAACTGTAGAAAGAAGCTAACTATGTGGAGCAGCCTGGGAAGATTTCTTCCTGATTTCTCCTGGGACCAGGGGGAAGGCTGCGTGCTGTGCCTTTGGAAGGCATTAGCTCTCTGAGCAGCAACAAAGATTCCCATATTTCACAAGTGGTTACGGGAACAGAGCAAGGGGAATGCAACGGACCACGGAGAATTTGGGCCATGCATACATGGGTTGTAACCAGGACATGTGGAGAGTAGTGACCCTTTCCCAAATTTAGGTACCAATGTAAACCTCCTGGGACCCTGGTGTTTAACAGGGAGCAGGACGTTACCCCTATAGTGTTCCTGAACACCTGAGTATATGGAATGAAGTTCATACCAAGTGAGTATGGGGGTTTTACAATTTACCGATCACTTTCATGCTCCTAACCTCCTTTGGCCCTGGCAAAAAACGACTGTGAAAGAAAATTATCCCTATTCTAATGCCGTGAATGCAAAGGCTCAGAGAGCTTAAGTGTCTAGCCTGGGGTCTCTGTATCCCAATTCTGCATACTTTCTACTATGCCATATGACTCACTGCATCTAAAATCTTTTAACCTAACCTTGACATCCAGCATTTCCATGAGAAGATGTATTCCAATGTGAAATGAAAGCCACTTTAATAAGTGGGACATTAGGGTGCAGAATTGCACCTGCAGCATGTTTAGAGTTATGTTGCAAAAATAAAAACTCAAAGCTATGCATAGAAAAAAACCTCAGATAATGAGTATTATGGCAAAATGGCAAAGGCTCTTGGGTTAAGGTGGTAGGTGGTAGGCAGATTATTCTTCCATTTTTTCCTACATTCAAAGTTTTCTTTAATGACACACATGTTATGTTTATGAGAAATACTTTCTTTCAGGTAGCTTGAGAGTCAAATAATTCACAGCAAGGCAGCTTCTTGTAGGAGTAGAGAAGGGCCTCCCTTATTTCCCAAGAATGAAAATATGTATATATATAATTTATCTCTTCTTTATCTCCTCAATCACTCAGAGATGATCTAGCTAGTAAGTCAAATTATTCAGGACGGCAACAATTTTCTATATGATATGCCAAGGCAATTACAGGAATCACTTCTAAATTTTGACAGAAGTCCAGATTTTGCCCTGAAGGAACCAATTCATATTCAGAGTAGCAAATTGGAAGAAATAATAAATAGAATCCTACAATGAACACTGAGTCTTTCGTAGCTACTTATACTAGTTTCTGAAAGAATTCCTGTCTTGAACTGCTGAGTATGACTTTGGGGAGATGGGGTAAAGGGAAGTAGCTCTTTCAGATCATCTATTATTCACCAAGGAAAGAAGGACACCAGCGGGGGCCCCTCTGCGGCCTGTCAGTCTCCTGCTTTCTCCTTGAGCATCCTGGAACCAATCTTATGTGAAAACCAAGATCTTCCTGGCTGTGGCCCGCCCCCCTCACAGGATCTCTCAAGAAAGTGCCTAACATTTCCTCAAATCACGCTCACTCACCTTCACACAGCCCAGTGTTCTCCAAGTAAAACTGGGCTCTACACTGGGGCAGACACTCGCCAGAGGTGATGTTTGCGCCAGACAGCTGCTCAACTTGCAGGCCTTCCTCTGGCTTCTTACACTGGGTGCACTGAGAGCGCTCTGGACCCACACATGCCAAGCAAGAGGAATGACAGGCTGCCCATGGGAATAAAATGCAGAAAACAATCCAAGATCACACATACATTGCAACCAATGGAACTCTGTTATTAAACCAAAACCACTTAGAAAAGTTCACCAGATACGTCCTTTCAGAATATTGTTTTTCTAGTGGGCTATACAAAGTACAGGGTGATAATAATAATATCTGTGAGGAGCAAAATGAGGGTGAGGTTAACTAGTCAGATCTCTCAGATTCTGTAAGAGCTGCCTAACTTGATCATTAAACACAAACAAACAAAATCCCCGCAAACTGGACAGTATTGGCTTGGTTCTCCAGAGAAACGTGTTCACTGAATGGTGGTGATTTAGCATTATGTCCTCAGTTTTTATTAAAGATTTTTTTAAAAAAACATTCAAATAAGGGCCATTAGTGCATTTTTTTTTTTTTGGAAAAATGGTCATGTTATTGTCCTTTATGTTACTCATCACCCATAAGATAGGGGTCCAGGCAAACAAATCCCTTTCAGAATTGATGTGAGGAAAGACTGCTTGTCTAAACAAGGAAGAGGCCTCTTTTGAGTAGCCACAAGCATTTCACAGTGCATCCCAGTTTCTTATTTTACTTGGCTACTGGTGAAAATCAAAGCCAAAAAGAGTACTTGAATTATCTCAGGCCCACATTTTGATACAATGAACTTTCCTATTCTTTAAAAGAGTCACCAAGTTTTCATTTTCAAAATATTTATTGCAGCTGCCTGTTTTAAAAACATTCTTCTTGTAAGTACTCTTAAGTTCTTTCCTAAGGTGCTCCATGCATAAATAAATATAAGTTAATTTCATTTGAAGTGTTTGCTCCCAAAGTTCTAGTTTCAAAAGGCTGAAATGATAGTGCCCTCCCAAGGAGCCCAAAGCCTATTTGGCAAACAGCTATTAAGATTTTCCATTTTACTCAGCCCACAGGCACTGCTAGAGACTCTCAGTGTTCTCGGCAGTATCATTAACAAAAAGAGGTTCTTCAGGGAAAAACAACATGAAGACTAAGAAAAACATTAGCAATGCTAGAAGAATAGTAAAAGGAGGAAATAAGAGTGGTTTTAATGTGTCGTAAAGGAAATGACGTTCCTCTGAAGGATGGCCAGAAAAATCATGAACTTTGGGTGTCTTCACAAATATTCAAGCATGATTTTTTCATTACCTTTTGGGAATGAAACAAAGCACATGATGTGCGCAGAGCTCTACAGGATATACTAGAGGAAAAGCTGAACTGAAAAGTAACATAAATCTATGTCCTTATGACAGGAAATTCTCCTGAGAATAAGGCTGACACCAGTAATACCTTTGCAGACCCCGTGGTCAGGGAAGAAGCCTTCTCCACAGCTGGGCAGACAATGGCCTTGGCGCAGAGCCTGGGAGTGGATGCAGGCTGTGCAGTGGGAAGCTGTAGGTCCAGAGCAGCTGGCACATGAGTTATGACAAACTGAGGAAGAGAGTGAGAAATGAACACAAAGAGGCCGAGGTGACCGAAGAGCCCACTTTTTGGCCGGACTCTGTATGTGCTAAGAAGCCCTCTCCTCCCTCAGTCTCAATCCCGCTTTAGCTCTTACAGCAAAGGAGAAGAAAAGATGAGTTAGGGGGTGGCTATATCACCACAACTGCCCACATGGCCCATTACTCATCTTGCAGCCACATTCTATCTATTATTTACTAGCCATCCTTTAGTGTTTGTAGTGTGCTTCATATACATTACCACTTTTAATCTTCACAGTAACATTATGAAGTAGATATTATTAACCTCATTTTACAGATGAAGAAACTGAAGTCTTGGGAAGTTAGAAAATTGACCTAAGATCACAGAGCTAATTAGTAGCAGGTCTGGAATTTAGCCATCGGTCTGTTTGAACCTAAAATTCCCCACCTGGATAGGGATGAGTGGAAAGTTCTGAGTGTCGGGAGCAGTGGAATTTGAACTGCTCTTGTCCATTAATTTATCTATGCCCTTCACCAAGCCTGAGAATCTCCAGGCCTGTTTCCTAGGAATATACACAGTGAGAGGCTGGACTCAACGCTCATTTAAGGTACTTCCAGCTTCGATATTCTGAGACTCTATGAAAGAATTACATAACACAATGTCAGACACACATATCCCCTCCTTTGGTGCTGGTGGTAACAGTGGGCATCTCTGACGCTAAGAGAGAGATGGTACCACAGCCTATCCTAAAGGAAAGGAGAGAGATACTGAAAGAAGGTTCCAGAGGACAATAGTCAGGGACTGGGAGAGGGGAATATAGAGACAGGAAAAGGCCTTTGGGGGCAGGATGCTGAGGAAAGGGGATGAAGAATGGGTGAGTAGAGGGGTTGGAAAACAAAGGACAGGTTGATAAGAAGAGATTGATGGACAGGTCTAAGCATCCTGGCACTGACAGACACTAGGCAGAGGTAAGAATGTGTGTGCATGCCTCGGAGGCAGGGGAGGTACAGCCAAGGCAGCAGTAAATTCCCAGAGTCACCCAAAAGGGACGACACAAGTCAAGCACATATAAATTGAAATTGATAGTCTCAAAAGGGAATGTTTTACTGTTTAGGTTGAGTAAGTATGAAAGAAACAATACATAACTAGCACATAAAACCAAATTTTCAATCAACACAGACTTCAGTTTTATATGCTATCAAACTTGGTTTACTTTTTATTGTATTTTTGTGATATGGTGTAGTTGCCAACATACAGGGATGAGCAAAAGTGAGTTTACGACTGTGAGTATGTGAAACAGAGTTTATCCTTGTATTATTATTTATTAATTAGTGTATTATTCACTATTATTATTAACCTACTTTTTCCCTCCCTTGTATGTGTTTATAAATACCACCTAAGGATTGATTCTGTCATACCTATGATCTAAGTTAGTGATGGTTTACAAGTACACGAGGACTCTGTGAAGGTCTTAAAGATGCTCTTGGCATTTCAGAGGGACCAAATGATCTCTGATGATGATTGATATGTATAAGTTCTCTACTTAATCACTCTAGTCCCCCAGGATCCACCCATGTCTCCCACTCTCATACCAAATACACGTAGGTTCTCTAATGAAAAAGCTACTCCTTTTAATTTGACATTTTCCCCATCATACACACAAATTCCCAAGGTAGCAGCATACAGTGCCCAGTATAGTCGATGACGATGATAGCGATGGCCCATGTCTTACCTTTACATCTGCCAGCGGCATCAGCGTAGTATCCACCAGGGCATTCAGGAATGCACTTGCCATCATGCAACACTGCCTTCTCAGCACAGGAAAGACATCGGGGGCTATTGGGGCCACAGCTTTTACAGGATGGGTCACATGCTGAGGAAGAGGAAAACCCATCAGAGAAAGTCAATAGTGAGCTAAGGGAGGAGGGAAGTCTATTCTTTACAACGTCCACAGCTGCTATCGACATAGTAATCTCATTCTCTGGCTGCTCAAATGAGTTCTGTTTCCTTGATTCCAATATTTCAAAGGACTCTGCACTTTCTGTTTTCACAGTTGAAGAAACAAAGAATTATTTATTGCACTGAGCATTACAAATACTCTGAAGCATCCTCCCACAACCCAGTGTCTCCAATTTAATATCGAATTTAAAGTTAAAATGGCCTTGGAAGTAGAGTTGCCAGATTTAGCAAATAAAAATACCAGATTTCCAGTTAAGTTTGAATTTTAGATAATGCATAATTATTTAATTTAAGTTTGTCCCAACTTTTTCATCCTTTATCTGGCAACCCGAGTTGGAAAGAGGATTCAGGAACTCGGAGTTTTACTATGCAAGTTCATGCTACAAAAATGTTAAGTTGTTGAACTTCCCCAATCTTCCAGTATCTGCTTATTCCTTTTTTCACTTATTTAGCCCCCAGAACATTCCTTATGCTCTGTGTCAGGCACTGTTTCAGGTGGTAGAGACACAAACATCAAATCAACTTGGTTTTTGCTTTAAGGTGTTTATGAGTCTAATAGGGGGAGACAGACATGTGTGATAGGAGAAATACTATAGCTATCACTCAGATCAGTTTGTATAGGTAAAAGGAAATTTTTTAAAAAATGTGTGTGATATAAGAGATATGAAAGGTCAAGAAAGAATTCATATAAGAGCAACCCTTGAACGCTGTCTTGGGAAGTGAGTCAGAGCATGCTTAGCTAATGGGAATGGACTCCTGGCCTAAGCTGCGAGTCAAGGAAAGGTCCAAGGCCTGGCTAAAGCTTGGGCTGTCCAGGGACAGAGCAGTTCCATTCAGCTGGAACAGTGGACAGGAACAGATCACATAAACCTGTATGCCAGACTCTATAGTCTAGATTCTTGTCTGGTGAAAGGAAGGCAGATGGAGCCCCTACCAAGCTTTAATCACAATAGAAACATCATCCTGTTGAGTATAAGAAAGATTCCTTTGGCTTCCATTTGGAGGGAAGTCTTGGAGAGGCAAAGGAGGAGAGTCGGGGGTCTTGCAGGAAGACGATGGCAAAGCTCATAGAACAAGATGGTTGGGCCCTGGCTGGTGTGACTCAGTCCTGTGAACCAAAGATGGTCAGGGGCTGAATCAAGGCTGTGGAGAAAGTGAGAGATTTGAGACCTATGTAGCAGAAAGCGTCTCAGATGGATTCCAGAGGTCAGGCTTGGGTGATGAGCGATGTCACTCAGAGAAGGCAAGAAGGAGAGTAGGTGTGGGGGATTCTGCTGGGCTCGGTTTGGGATAAGGTGCAGTCCCATAAACAGCCCGATTTATTGTTCTGGAGTTCAGGGGAGAGGCCTGGGGGTCACCACATATAGGTGGTTGTTGAAATCAAAAATAGTCGATTTATTCAGGAAAGGCATGAAGGGTAAGACAGAAGAGGTTGAGGATCTGAGAGCACCAACATTTAATGAAAAAAAGAAAAAACTAGCAGCAGTGTCCACGAAGTAGTAATACAAAGGTAGAAAACAGGGGTGTGACAGCTGAGAAGCCAAGGGAGGAAAAAGTTTCAAAAACAAGCCATTAAAAGTATAGGAGGATAACTAATGTCTGAACGTGGCTCCTACACTTAGAAATTGAGATATGGATGGCCTGCACCACAATCGTTTAAGTGGTGTCATTGGAATGAAAGTGAAGGCCCTGATTATTAACTGTTCCTTAGAAGGCTCCTGGCTGCAAATGGATAGGGACAGAGAGAGAAGTAATTAAAAGGGTAAGAGGACATTGTGTTCCTCCAATATTGTAAAGGTTCAAGGCGAGAAGAGTTTAAATAATTGTGCAAAGAACACCGAGGAGAAAAGGGGGATGGACAGAAGCACAGAGGGAGAGATTAGCCTTGGACAGACCAGAGGAGGGTTTCCTTTTCTGAGTGGAAGGAGGGAGGTGGGGGTGAATGCAGCTGCTTGTAAGTCTATGAGTCCATCTACTCTGCACTCACTGGCTAAATGCTTTAAAACCAAACCAAACAAACCTTCTCACTATCAGAAAGTCAATGCTGAGATCTATTCTGTCTATTCTCTTAATCCACCTACACCATACTACCTTTCTGAAAAACATTTCAAGACCTTGGGGAAACAATGCAGGTGAAAGGGCCAAACGTTCCATCCTACATCCAGGAGGATCCAGCATCTCTCTAGAAGCAAACATGTAAGGCAAGATAATATTCAGTTAATGGTCAATGGCAATGATCTTTATATCAGAGAAAAAGAAAATCGCCCCCTCAACTCACAACTGGAACAAAGAGGCAAAAATGAGTCTGAAAAGTGTCTTTCTTCCCACCTTCCATAAAAACTTCCCAGGTTTCCCATTATGGAACTGACATCTCACAGAACCAAACAATCTTTAAGCTAAGTGGATTTCCCTAGAAATAAAGAATAGCAGAAATTTCTTAAAATTTAGAATTGACCACCAATAAAAAACATTAAAAGTCAAACATTTTAAGACACACCTAACGCAATACTTAAGAGTTTAATTTGGAATTTAAATAAAATTCCTAAGAGGATGTCATTTTTTTCCCCAAGCTGGTCTATAACCTCAATACAGTAGTAATAAAAATCCCAATTGTATTTTATTAGGAATTTAATAAACTTTCTAAATAGTCCATGAGTAATTAAGTTAACTTTGAAAATAAATATGAAAGGGAAAATTTACCCAATCAGATGTTGAGACAAACTGCAAAGCTATAGAAATTAATGAAAACATAAAACAAAACAATGTGATAGGTTACTAGAACAGAAATTGAGATGACTGGAATATCTCAGAGATAGACCTATGGGCACACAGAAATTTAATTTAATGCTACAATAAAGATCAACAAAGTAGGTTAGATAGAATTACTAGATGATCTTGGGAAAATTGGATCATTAGATGAAGAAAAATAAAACTGGATCCATACGTAAACCCATATCTGTAAGTGGACTCCAAATGGTTCAACAACCTAAGTTAAGATAAAAATGTCAAGTTAATAGAATAAAATGTAGAATAATTTATTTGTGAACTTGAGCAGAAAAAGATAATTCAAGTTCAAAATGAGCAGAACTTTTTTTTAAAAATTCAAAATCAAAATGTTAAAGTAAAAAATGATGAATTAAAAACTTCTATCCAACTTAGGGCACTATTATAAAAGTTAAAAGTAAACATTTTCATATTTGAGATTGACAAGAGTTAATATCTATAACATACGAGGGACTCCATAAAATCAACAATCAAAAGGCAGCAAGGCTAATAAAAAATGGTGAAAAAACACATTAAAAAGCAATTTATACAAGAGGAAATACAAAAATCCAAAAGAAGTTGAAGATATTTTCAAACTCAATAATCAGAAGAATGCAAATTAAAATTGGATGTCCTTGTATATCTACTGTCAGAGAAAAATCTAAAGCTTGTTAATGCCAAACAGTGGCAAAGATGTAGAAATGAAAGAGCCCTCATGCTTTGGGGTGTTAATGTTGGTGAGCTACCTGGCTCTACTTAGTCAAATAGAAAATATGCAAAGTCAAAAAACCAACAATCTGCTCCTGTGTTATGCATCCCAGGGAACTTCCCACGTGATCCATAAAGGTGCAAGTTCAAGGCTCTTCACTAGTGCTCTCTAATGATGGCATATGATTAGAAGGAACCCAGGAAGTCTGTCACTGGGAGAGTGGATGCATGAGCTACGAGGATGGAGACCAGGGAGGACTATGCAACAGCAAGAAGAAAAGGAATAGATTATAAAGTAACATGGGTGACCCTTAAAAACATGATGCCGAGGGAAAAAGAAGAGAACCACATGACTTCCATAACATGAAATAATTAAATATACATACACATACAGGTATCCTTGTTGGAGTGCCAACCTCCCCGCCCCCCATGCAATAGAAAATTTGCATATAATTTTCAACTCCCTAAAAACTACTCTTAACTACCCTAAGTATCTGTGGGGAACTGGTCCCAGAACCCCAACAGATACCAAAATCCATGGATGCTCAGGTTCCCTAAATACACTGGCATAGATCAATGCATACAATAAGTTCTCCACATCTGCTGAATCCCAGCCATGGATTGAAAACACTACAGGTAGTTATTGAAAAAAAATCTGCATATATGTGGACCCACACAGTTCAAACCTGTGTTATCTGAAGGTCAACTATATTCCAAATGACAATACCCCATTTATATACGAGCCCATAAAAACCAAAAGATTTTTAAAAGATAAAATAGTTGCTTAGGTGAAGAAGGGGAATGAGGATAAAAGGAAGAAAAGGCAGAAGAAAGGAGAGAATGGTTAGCAGACACCTCTGAACTTGCTTTGATATATGGTATTAACTAGAGTTAGGAAAGCCTTCTTAATAGCACAAGTACTTAAATGACTAAAGAATGAGGAGGATTTGTCCTTTGAATTTCCTCACTCTTTATATCTAATATTTGTAAAACTCAAAGCACGTACCACAGATGAACTTGGTTACTGTAAATTCTTTCAACCAGGGCATACCACCCTTTATAACAGGTTATTCTGGATTTTTTTCAGCACTTGACTTTGAGATTTCTGTAGATATGGCCTTCTTGGTTATAAATTATTAAACCAACATAAGCAGGTCTTCATCTTGAACAGCACTAATCTGAATTGGAAATGAGTCAGCATTATCAGCATCAGACATCTTAATTAACATTCCAGTACCAATCAGTGACTTGGTTCACCCTTGTTTGGGAAATACCATTTGAATATTTCTGAAGGTATTTGATAAAAACTTAGAGAACTCTGACAATTTTACAAAGAGTGTAAACTCCAGTCTTGTCTATCAAAAGGCAGGTTGGTCAATGCCAGTGATGTTGCCAAGTCTTGCACTGTGCTAAGCAATAGAGCAGGCATTCAGTAATTGCTTGATCAATTAATTGGTTGGCTGACGGTCAGCAACGGCCCACCTGCTATTCGGAAGTTTTCTTTCTGATGCTCTGTTTCAAAATGCATAAAGATAGTGCATCAGATGTACACTCTCTCCCTAACACACCTGTTGAGCAGTCCTCTTTTATTAATGCTTCCTGTCCCCCAGCTTTTTCACTCCATCTCTGAGCCCAGGTATATTCCCACCCGTCCTCACCTCCAGGCTCACACTAACCATCTCTCCTTTTAAATGCAAGTTTCTCCAGCAAAAAGTTATTTCTCAATCCAAATAGTAACTTCTCAGTAACAGGATAGTGTCACGGCTCCTTGTCAGTGACAGTAGACAGCCTCCTTGGGGACTTAAGGAGTAAATACCTTTAGGCCTTTGGATTAGTGCAAATTTGACATCTACCAGCCTTTAAAGAATACATCTGGCTTAATTGAGCAGGAGAGTGATGCTGGCAGAAAAAGATCAAAATGCTCAGGCTGATGGCACCCTGGCCTTTCCTTCCTCGTTCTCTCCCAAGTCCACACAACAGCCACCTGTGACTCGCCCAAATCAAGAGATTTTTCACACCAGCGATGCTGACGAATGTCTGCAGAGCTTTAAGCAAGCAGCTGCTAAGAGTCATCTCTCTTCCCTAAGGCACGTGGGTTTGGCAGCGCCCAAAGATCATCTCATGGCTGCTATTGGTCTTTCCACCGGTATGGCCACCACAGCAAACTCAGTTGCCCAGGGTCAGATGGCTACCTGTCCATTTGGCAATGTCCACAGGGGCAGCCAAATGATCCAAAGACTGAAAGGAGGAAGGAGGAGAAAAGAAGAAAAGGGGAGAAGAAAATAGATAAAGGAGAGAAGGAAAACCAGGCAGAGATGCACGAGGGGGATCATACAGGAAGCAGTGGATGGTTAAGAGGTGCTTAAGGTCTAGAGGCAGAGACGGAGGCTTCTGCCCAGCTCTACCCCTAACTAGCCATGCGATCTTAGGCAAGTCTTTCTTTAATCAGGAAAATGAGGATGCTGATAATAACTACCCCATAAAATCGTTGTGAGGATAAAACCCCTAATACACAGTGCCTGCTGTGCCAGGCACAGTGCTAAATGCCTCCTTTATGTTAACTCAGTCCTCTCAACAGCCTTCTGAGTTGGGTGTGTGTTAATTGCCTATTGCTGCTGTAACACATTACCATGAACTCACGGTTTAAAACAACACAAAGTTACAGCTCTAGAGGTCAGAAGTCCTCAAATCAAGGTGTTGGCAGAGCAGCATTCCTTCTGGAAGCTCATGAGGGGTGGAGGAGGGATCTATTTCCTCATCTTTTCCAGGTTCTCAAGGCTTCCTACAAGCTCAGGGGCCCTTCCTGCCATCAATCTGACCTCTGCTTCCATCTCCAGTCTTCCTTTCTGACTCCCACCCCCAAGCCTTCCTGATATAAGGACCCTTGTACACTGGCCCAGCCCTGTAACCCAGGATAATCTCCCATCTCAAGATTCTTACCACAAGTTATGGTAATTAGGACGTAGACCTCTTTGAGGGACCAGTATCCTGTCTACCACAGGTGCTACTAGTATGCCTGTCTTACAAATGGGAAACTGACGCGTGCAGAGATTAAGTAACTTGCCCGAGGTCATGTATTTCCCACCATACTTTCCTGCTTCTCAATGGGTTAATGTCTATAGCACCCTTGGGACAGTGCCTGGCAGAAGGACTCTGGAAGCTGGGTTAACTCTTATTGTTAGGCAGAGGGTGGTTAAATGTAGAACAGACAAGAACTGCTTCAGCTTTAAATCAGTGGCACCAAAAAACGAAGGTGGGTCTGCCCTTGGCTGGCCTCAAAGTGTCTTTGTCTCCATGCATATCTGGAAGGCAGTCTGGAGTTGATGGAGGGTTTGGAATTTGGAGAAAGGAAGCCCTGCTGCTGCCCCTACAGCGGTGGGTCTGAAGCAAGCAGCCCAGTTCTCACTGTCCTTACCTGCAGAACAAGGCTCGAGCAAGTCGCAGAGGGTGGTGGGGGCAGCATTAAAGCGGATCTCCCCAAGTGAAAAAAACATGTTTTGTAAACTACTAAAAACACCAGCAACGTCAACAGCCATTTGTACATTTGTTGAGTAAAAGAAAGACTGGTTATTGGTGCTATGGTTCGGCTTAAACTCGGATGCTGGAAAAGAAAAAGACGCTCTGGCGTGCAAAGCCTGGCACCTACCCTTGCAGGTCCCCTGCTTGTTGTAAAAGCCGTCGCCGCAGCTGCTCTCACAGCCGCCCTCCCTCAGCACTTGGAGGGGGTCTCTGCAGGCCAGGCACTGCTTCTCCAGGGGACCCCAGCAGGCCGCACAGGACTCGTGGCAGGCTGCAGGCAAACAGCAACGTCAGTGAACCTTCTAGAGTAGAAAGGACTGGTCAGCTTTTCCTGGAAAAGTTTTGAAATTTATAAGGAGGATGTGGGCTCCTTCATTCCTAAACCACAAGGCACATGTGTGCACCCCAGGAGAACCCCCCCCCAAAAAAACCTACTTCTGTTGGTCAGAAGTACAATTTCAATGAATTATTGCTAAAAAAAAAAAAAGAAAGAAAGAAACAAGAAATCAGGAGCTTTTGAATATTAGAAATCACAGGGAAGGAAACCATAATGTTCTAGACAAAGATGATCTGTCTAATGAGTTCAGGTGGTGCTCCACCATGTCATCCTTATAACCACATGTCAGTGTCAACAGGAAAGACACTCCTATCTCCAGCACCATCAAGAATCAACTAAGGAAGTATGCTGTGTCCTCTAGTCCTTGATTTGACCTTGAAGGACTGGGTTCCACCTGATTGTATTGCTTCCCCCCTTCCCATCTCTCTGCTCTCCTTCTCCCTCACCATACCCTCCTCGGCCCTCCCTCTCAAGTCTTCCAGTCTCCCTCAGTCTTCAGTTACACCATTAGCATCTGCTCTAAATGTGTATCTTGAGGACTCACAGAGCCCACCTTTCCTTTACACTTTAGGTTTAGTTGTTCCTAAACCACAGTTGTTCCTTTAAGACTCCGAAATTTCCACCTCTTCCAGCCTTTAATTTTTTATTACTCTTTTGGCTTGCCCTTCACCCTAGCAAGTCTGTAAAGAGAAGGCTATTCTGAATGAGTATATTCAGACTTAACTCTCTGTATAGCTAACCCCACCTTCGCTTTTGTTAATGCATCCTAATTTTCAAGATGTTTGCTCCACAATGGAGCATGATCTGTTTTGCAAACGTATTTAGTCCGACAAAACTGGTAGGAAGAATGCCTTTGCTGATTGCAGGTGACTTGGGGGTTTTACTTTAGTAATTTAATTAGGCATCCCTTTGGAATCAGAAGAAAGGGTACCTGCATTGGAGGTCTTCAGATCCAGTCCTCTCCTCTCTGTTCTAAACTGAACTAGAAAGCCTTAATTTCAGACTTTTCTCCCCCCAAAATTTAGAGAAAATTACAAGTTGCGTTAAGTGTTAGCAGGGCTATTTGATGAAGAATAAAAGTGGTGCCTTGGCCCAGTGACTCAGCTGGTTGGAGCATCATTCCATGCACCAAAGGGTTGCAGGTTCAATCCCTGGTCAGGGCACATACCTAGGTTGTGGGTTCAATCCCCTGTTGGGGCACATACGGGAAGCAATCGATTGATGTTTCTCTCTCAGATTGATGTCTCTCTTTCTCTCTTTCTCAAATCAATAAACATACTTTGGGTGAGAATTAAGAAAAAGAAAGAACAACAGTGGTGAAGGTGGAAAGGGCCAGCTTTACGTACATCGAAAGGATGAGAAGCAGCCAGCCATGGGGAGAGGAAAGAACAACACAAAAGTTCTTAAGAAGGGAAGGAGCTGGGCGTTGAAGGACCTGAAGGCTGCCCTCATGGCCACAGCTGGTGCTGGCTGGCGGAGGGTGGGGGGCACAGCGTGAGGCAGAGTGGCCTGTCATTACTGGAGGCGACACAGATGCCCAAACAAACGCGACCGTGGACCAAGGAAAAAAATATAATTTTATCCTAATTCCAATGTGAAATCACAAACAGGCTTAAGCAGGACAGATCAGTAATGTTCAACCTTTTCCATCTCCTGGCACACATAAACTAATCACTAAAATTCTGTGGCACACCAAAAAATATGTAATATTGTTTTACTGATCTGACAAAAAAATAGATATAATTTTGATTCATTCACTTTGGACAGCTATTGTTGTGTTGGTTGTTGCCATTTACTTTTTAATTTGACAATCTAAGGGGATAAAGGTCAGTGGCCCTGATTAAACAGGCACGTACTGCATGTTTTAAAAATTCTTGCAGCAGACCGGCTGAAAATCACTGCGACAGACACAAGCCCTGATTTAGATTTTCAAAAGCTCTCTCTATCATGTAGAGAGAATTTAAGAACTTGCATGCAGGTAGGGAGACCACTATGGAGCCTATGCTGTGGTCTAGGTAAGAGATGACGATAGCAGGTGGGAAGTGGAAATGAAGGAAAGTTTAGTTATTTATTATCTGGTTTCCTCATGAGACCATAAGCTTCATTGGGGCAGAGCCCATTTCTATTTCGTTAACCCTGCACCATTACAAACAGCTCTTGAGTTCCTTCATTTATATTTCACACCTCATTTGTAAGTGGCACACAGGAATATTGTTCACATTAGGATAAACTACCAACACCACAATATAAATAAAGATGTGAATGCAAGGATCCCAGTAATAAATTCTACCCTCATCAACACACATGAAAGCTGTCATTTATTTATTCAACTACCCTTCAATTACTGATTATAGTCACCATCTGAAGCGCCTAACACTGTCTCACTGTCTCAGGAGTTGATACAAAGTCATTACCAAAACAAATAAACAACAAAAAATCCCAACGCCATGTATAAGAAGGTATGCCCAGGTTGACCTATCAATGTCCAGAAGCACCTATTACATGCAAGGTGCTGTGCTAGCCTGTGGGGCCTTCCCAGCAAGCCGCAGGTAAGCCGCGTTACCTGACCTCTGCCAGAGGAAACCTTTAAACAAGCCCCTCACTTGAGCGCATTGCACTGGTGGCAGTGTGCAAACTGCTCTGGGAGAATGTGCCCGAGAGGATGATGGGAACTGATGCTGAAAAGGCAATAGAGGCCAGACCACAAATGTCAGGCAGGACTGGGTAAGGACCTTAAACTTCTTCCTTATGTAAGAGTTTTAATCAGGACAGTAGAATTGACCGATCTTGCTTTTTAAACAGTTTACTCTGCAGGGGGGAGAGAAGAGGATAATTAAGACATCTATAAAAAATGAAATCATCTTTGTACAGAGGGTGAAGTGGAGACGAGAAATTAAAGCACAACTAGCTCTTCGAGGACTGGCTGACGGCAGAGCAGACATCCACTGCACTGGCTATTCAAATGGTACGAATACTTCCAAACTAATTGGTAAATGGCCATTGTCCTGCCCCTTTTAGGACACTCTGGCTTCATCCCTGGGAACTTGGCAGACATGACCAGGCCTCAAAAACCAAAAGGTCTAGCAAAGGAAAGGGTCTCGGGTCTGTCCCTTCCTCCTTCTGACTGATCCAATTTACGCCGTACTGTTTGTTAAATATTTTAAATATTACCTCTGGCATTGCCTATCAGAACAGGGGCTAAAGGATGAGCAGGATAGAGGCTATAGACTCAGGAATGACACTCGGGTCCACCACAAACAGAACCCTACTTATCTTTACAGACCTGCCTTCTGCAGCCTCCCTCATGCTGGCCAGCTCTATGACACCGGGTACCCTAAGCATGCCGTGTGTCTGCTTGTGGGTTCTGGATGCCCCACAGGATTCACCCAGCCAGCAACACCTCTGGATTCTTCCCTGGACCCTGGAATCCTGTTTATATTTCAGAAGCCTCCTAAGTTGTCGCTACTTCTGCGAAGCTTTGTTGAAACAGTTGTTTGCTCCTTCCTTTATCTTCCTGGAGCACTTTGTACATGCCTCCCTTGTGCTATTTATCTTACTATGCTAATTATTCAGCTACACATTGATTCGCCACAATGGAATGTACTATACTCCAAAACAGGGTCCATGTCCCAGTCATTTAAAACCGCCAGTGTCCAGATTGATGCCTGGTGCACAGTCAGTACTCATTAAATGTATGTTAAACGAATGCATGGCCTTTTCTTTTTACTGGCTATGCAGAATTCATCCTATCAGTTACCTTCTACATGGAAATGTCTACGTGGTGAGTTGTAACCATAAGGGGATAGTCTGAAGATATGATAACTTAAGATGGATGCACTTCGGTTTATAAAATTTACCCAATAAATGCTGCAGTCTAGATCTGCTTATGATGATGAATACTTATGCTATATTCATAGAGTAACCAAATGTGTTGCTGGACCTTCTCTTTTTTCCATATCAGACAAAAACCATGTTCCATGGCCAGATAGGAAAGCAGAAGAAATTTTCATTTCAACCCAGGACTATGCTGAGCTGTCATTTTTTTTCTTTCCTTTCCTTTTTCTTTCTTTCTTTTCTTTTTTGACCTGTCATTTCTTATGACATACTCCCACTGTGTTCTGCAATTGATTTTTAATTTCTAACTGAACATATGCTACTGCTGATAATCTCTTCTTGCAGACTTATTTTATATGCGACTTCTATTACATTTGGATTATCATGAAAAATAAAAGGTCACTCATTGACTTTTCACCACAATTTCTTTTAGTAATATACTTCAGATCACCCAGGATTTGAATTATACATTGTGAAAATTGTGGCAATAAATTTAAAAAGAGGAAGAATAAGGGAAAGCTATCTTCTTATCTCACATGCAGTCGATAATTTACTTGGGAAAGCCCCAGACTTTGCTGGAGCATAACAAGACATGTGTTGGCTTGCTGAGCAATTCATTTCAAAATGAAAAGGAATGAATTACTTTTCTTTTGGCAGCTGTGTATTGAAACCCTACTCTAAAAATAAGAAACTCTTTCTGTACTTGATAATTGTGAATTAGAAGGGAGTTGTAAAAAATTGTTTAACCTGTGCTTCCCTAAGAATAAAATGCAGCCTTTCCTGGGAAATGTTAAAACAAGCATTTCCTACTGACGACTTATTTCCCAGGAAGGCTTCCCAAACCCAGGGAGTAGCTATAGAGACCCGTGGGCGGTTGAGCCTGCCCCTCAGGAGAAGCAGCCTAGGTTCCCCGCCTCTTCGTGATCTTCCAGAGTAAGTTCCTCAGCACAAAATCAGCACACGTGATGGGCAGCCCCTCTCTGAGCCATCAGTGAGGCTGCACTTTAGATTTCCAAACTGCCAGGACATTTCACTTGTAACTCCTCAGAAGCAGCCCAAATTCCAGGCACAGGCAGGTATGCCATACACGGGTCAGATTC